TATTCGGGACTTGCCCTATCGAAAACTGGCCACGCTGAACAACGGTATAGTGGCCCCAAGCTTGCAGACTCAATCAAACCAGAGCCATGAGGACTAACGTCCTTACAAATCTGCAAATTACTTTTTCCCTGACAAATTCATTTTGCCCTACAATCTCGCTTCCGTACTGCTGATTAAATACTTTCGAAGAAAAACGCAAATTGGGTTGTGTTACATAACCCCATGCGTATGCAATGATTGTTCCCAAACTTGATTGAAGCCCGTCCCCTTAAGTATTATCCTTCAACGGTGTCTGAGGGTGCTTTTGCAGCCCGTAACTATACAGCTATTTTAAACTTACTCTTTGGTTCTTTCGGTAAAGTCACGTCGGTAGAAAAAATAATAGATCACCACGTTTTGATCGCCACACAAGCAATGTTCTTAATTTTTTTTTACTTTTTATTTATTATAAACTTTTTATTTATTTTACCAGGTAAAGCCCACTGAGCTATATATCTCTTTTGCACAAGCGACTTGGCTATCACAAATGATAGCTCAACGAAGTGGCTTATCACGTGGAAATTTACAACAGCCAAATATTCGAAACGCCGTGATGTTGATTCTAAATGTGGAGGGGAACACCGGAGGACCTGAAGAAAAATCCACGCGACCACAGAGAGAGAGAGAGACGCGCAAACTCCAAATATACAACAGGCATCAAGGTCAGGATCAAATCCTCGATCTCCTGTATACCAGGCGAGGTAGTTAACATCTTGCTACCTCCTCTCCCTCTACAGGGAGGGAGAAGAGGAGGTAAAGGTGCAGCCCTGCAATGGCTTGCTCACGCCACTGCTGGCGGCTGGGGTGAGGCTCCACAGCAGGGACTTCAAAGCATTTCTTCCGCACGTCCATGGTGGCCAGACGTCTCGGAAGAGTTGCGGGGGGGGGGTTACCCACACTTTCCCCACGGTGGCAAGATGTTAACTACCTCGCCTGGTATACAGGAGATCGTGGGTTCAATCCTGACCCTGATGCCTGTTGTATATTTGGAGTTTGCGTGTCTCTCTCTCTCTCTCTCTCCCCGTGGTTGCGTCGATTTTTCTCCGTGTTTTCCCCTCCACATTTAGAACCGCGCGTTTAGAGTTTTTGGCCAATATAAATTTCCACGCGATCAGTCACTTCGTTGAGCTGTCATTTGTGGCCATGTCGCTTCCGAAAAAAAATAGCTACGTAGCTCAGTGGGCCCTTACCTGGTAAAATAAAACATAGTTCAGTCTTAGCCCCACCACTCGCAACCTGTCCAATCGATCGCGGTGGATTTTAAGAAATCCCCAAAATTATTTCAACCCACGACGGGATCGAACCGGGGAGCTCCGGCAGCAACGTTGCTCGCCGTTGACACCACGGGAGAGCCACCCCCCCCCCCCCCCCACTTACCCCCACGCTAATCATTTAAGAGGGGAATCAAACGTGGCCTCAGGTTGAGAGGGCTTCATCGTGAGCATTGCCGCCGTGGCTGCCTCTCTTCTTGGTCGTGGCCGCGCAGTTGGAGGCTTTTCCGCCTCTGGCGGGAGGACGCCTCATTAGGCACCGCAATACGGCAGCACTCGCAGGCACACGTCTCGGGCAGAGCCGCTCAAGCCCTGTTAGGCACACCGGGTGGAGCGGGGGGGGGGGGGGAACTCAAACAGCGTTCACTCTCCCGTCATCTCTTCCCGCCCCCCACCCTTCCCCCGCCTCAAGCTCTTGTAATAACCTTGCCCAATTCAAGACACGTGTTACAATATGATCGATTTTGTTCGTGCTGTTCATTTCTGGCCGCTTGACGGTGCGGTGTCATCATCATCATCATCCATTCAATGTCAGCCATGGTCTATTCACTGCTGGATGAAGACCTACCAAATTATGCCATCATCCATTCAATGTTAGCCATGGTCTATTCACTGCTGGATGAAGACCTACCCAATTATGCCATCATCCATTCAATGTCAGCCATGGTCGATCCACTGCTGGATGAAGGTCTACCCGATTTCCCCGTTACCTCTCACAACCCTGCGATGCGGTAGTCCCACCTGGGAACCCCGCAAGAGCGTTTAGTTAATCTTCTGCGTCTTCATGGTCATGGCATTCTCAGACGAGTTGCGTCCCTTGGCTGCCGCTCCGTGATTACCCTTGATCATATTCATGCCTTCGCTTGTCCGATGATATTTTTAGTTAAATGTCATCTTACGTCGTCGTAAATAACGATGGCGATTGCGTGTTACCCCCCCACCCACGCCCCCCCTCCCCTCTCCTCCATACGTGTACTGACTGTATGTAATCTTAGTGTGGCTGCTCTGTTTTTTTAAACAATTATTATTATTACATCTAAACATTTGTACATTTATAACCTTGGTGTGCGAGAGCTCCAACTGTGTAAGATTCAGGAAAAGAGTAATGAAGTTCAATTACCATTGTGCGGAGCCTAAATAGATTATGGAAATGCGTTCAGCTCGGTAAGAAATTGATGCAGTCGAATCAACCGTCGGCTTTGCTGTCGTCAATTCAAACCGGGCACGTGGGGTGGAGCGATGGCTGGCGTAGGTGCTTATGGGCGCGCTACGTTGTGAACCTGCTGATTCGAATTCGATTTCCGAACACGGCTTACATCAGCGGCGAAGCGATGTTTGACGCGGTACCGCCACCCGATACACCGACTCGCACTGACATAGCGTTGTGTGAGGTGTGGGCAAGTAACCGCCACGATTTTGATTTAAAGCTTTCGTGACTGCAGGGATTGATATTCTTGGTTCTTTCGGTAAAGTCACGTAGAAGGGAAATAATAAAACAAAATAAAAAAATGTAATTCTCACGACGTTTCGAATTTTTTTTAATAAAATGTTACAATTTGTTTTTAAATGTTTTCTTGCTGTGGTTTTCACACCTTATGATGATTGTTTGTGTTGCAATCGAAACGTCGTGAGAATTTTATTGTTTTATTTTAGTTATTTTATTATTTCCCTTCTACGTGACTTTACCAAAAGAACCAATAATATAACCGCCACGACTTAAATGGTGTTGGGATTCCTTCATCCAGCAGTGGATTGACAAAGGGCTGTAAATTCTGAATATGATCCGAGGAATGTAATGATTTCCCACACCCCCCTCCTCGTGATTATGATTGGTCATAATGCGTCGTCCTGTTTGAATCTAATTATCTGTAAATTTTTTGTTATTGTGAAGAATACAGCTGGTCTATGTGAACTTATAACCCACAACATGTTCCGATTTGCGTGATATGATGCATGCATTGTCAGCATGAGAATCAATTTTAATCCACCATAAAATGCCCTTTTTTGTGTTTCCGGGAAAGCCTCATTGTGTCCAAAGATTATTTTACAGGGGGGTCCTGCTTTTAGAATATTTGGCCAATTCCATCGATGAGCATTTGGCCACGTGGGAGGAGGAAACCGGAGTGGCCAGAGCGAACCCACAGACACAAGGGGGGATCGCACTCTATGCTTCACACATGTGGGAGGCATCACTCCGATGTGCGATCGAGTTCTCGCGCGTGTTGTTCGGCATCGTGTGCGAACCGTTCACGTCCACGTGCTGATCTCAATTTAGTTCCGGAAAGGAGCGCTTCCAGCACGTGGGACGAAACGTCGGACATCACACCGAACAACAACAACAACAAGGACGCGGTACAAAACGAAACGACATCCGCGAGCCGCACCGAAACGAGCTCGAAATCCCACACGGAGGACTCGCCGGGTCCATCTTGCTGCGCTGCCTTCCGCCGCCCGTGATAGTTTTCGCAAATCTGCGGTGTGTCCACAAGCGCTCGCCTCCTCGAACGCCGATATTCGAGGCGCGTGTGACCATGCCAGGCTAATTGGGAGCGAAAAAAATAGACATTTTGAAATCCCGTGGATCGGCCTCCTCCCAAGAGTCCTTCGTGCGCTTTATTATTCTATTCCCGCCGGATGTTTCCGTGGCAGTTGCCGCCGTTGAGTTCGGCACTTGGCCTTTGTCATCGGCCGCTCGATAATGATGGTGGTGCACTTGTCACCTCGCCGAGGGACAGGCAGACGCACGGATAACCTGAGGAATGCATCCTGTAAGTAATCGTAATTGCGCACGCCCATAGGTTTTTCAATTTGCACTTGAGGCACACGGTCGGTGTTGTTTTGGCACAGAAATACAGAGAGCATTTAAAAATAACCCACGCAGGACCCGGTTGGAACAGTGTGAGATTAATAACATCATGTTTTGTTCCTAAGTGGAATTTCTTGTGTGGCAATGAGTGGATTATTTTCGGCTTTATACTGCTAACCCGGCGATGCGAGTTTGATTCCCTTTCACGGTCACCAACACCGGTGATGATTGTTTGAACCGGTCCTGAGCCTCCCCAATGTCGATTCGGCCTCAATCGACGACCAGGTGCTGTGCGTAGCAAACATCGTCACTGGGGGGACAAAGGCGGTCCAGCGCAGTGCTGGCCACCCCATCTCCTCGTGCGCCGCCGTGCCGGCCTTCGTAGGTGCTGCTCGCTCACAGCGCTTGCCCCGAACAGTCCGTTTAAGGCTGTACGGGGGATCTTTCTTTGTCTTTGGTGGAATTCATCATGGTTAATATATTCATGCAGTTGGGGGAATTGCCAAGGTGGGGCACGATGGGCGGCGGCTGGGAATGGCAGTTGGCTGACAAACACATCAATTGTATGTCAAATAAGGAAGGAAATCAAGTGCAGAGTACCTAAAAAAGGTGTCAGTTTTGTTGCCAGATAGAAGGGTAAAAAAAAACAATTATATTTTTTATTGGCAAATGAGGTTCCAATGGTGCAGAGCACTCATTGCCGATTTTCTTTTACGGTAGCGGTTCTGCTTGTTCCTACCCCTGTGAACGAGTGGAAAGGGAACAATGGAGCAACGTGGCCGTGAACTTTGGCTCGATTCATTCTGGCTTCTCTTAATTCGCCGACCTCGCTGTTGTTGTTCTGCCTCTTCCACACGAACCGACCCCTGCGAACGCCCTCGCAGCGCGTCGGCCCGCGCCTGCTCGCGCAAGGCGCCGGCGAGTGAGGACGCCGCGGGCCGGCCCCGGGGGTCCGCGGGCCTGCCGGTGCGGCCCGACTCCTACCTCGATGACGACATCCCACTGCTGCACATGTTGGTCGGCGATGAAGGTACCCCCCCCCCTCGGCAGCGAGAGAGCGCGTGCACGCGCGCGAGACGACACCGCGAAATTTTTTAATAAAAAGTAGAACACGTTCTGCAGAACCACCCAGCATGAATCGCCGGTAGAATGGAGGCCCGGGGAGAATGGAGATAGGATGAACTCTGGATACAACGCCACCCTTATTCATCGCCTTCTTCCCCCTTTCTCCATTTTTTCTCCTTCTTTCGTAGATGTCAAATAACTGCGTCAGGAGTAGTGGAGTGTATCGGCTGTGTTGGCCACCACTCCTTAACACGTGGTAACAAGACTGACATACTTGGGCATCGCGTTCATGTTATTTTATTTTGGGTTTTGTTCGGTTCCATTGTTCCCCCCCCGGCCCTGCCCCCCCCCCCCCCATTTTTCCATTTTCTTCCCGCCCCCCCCTAAACTCGTTACCTCTACCACGGTAAGGCAAAGAGCCTGGGTGCCCTCGTTCATTCCCTAATGTTTGAGGGTGCATTACGCCCCGGCCTATTATACATTACGCGTTTGTTCCTCCCTCCTTTTGATGTTCCCACTGTATGCTGGGATCTCGAAAGACAAATAAAAAACATGCTTTAAAAACATTTCCGACTACATCCGTCAATAACACCGTGGCTTTAAATGGAAAAATATATATTTAAGCAATGTTTCGGACAATGTCCCTTCTTCAGAGCACAAATAAACTATGAACTAAACTATGTTCTATTTTATCAGGTAAGGTTCACCGAGCTGTACAGTTCTTTTTCAGAAACGACCTGGCCACAAATGATAGCTCAATGAAGTGGCTTATCACGTGGAAATGTACAGCAGCCAAATACTCTAAACGCGTGATGTTGATTCTAAATGTGGAGGGGAAAACCGAAGGACCCGGAGACAAATCCACATGACCACGGGGAGAACATGCAAACTCCAAATATACAGCAGACGTCAGAGTCGGGCTCGAACCCACGAGGTAGTTAACATCCTGCCACAAATGGAAGGGTCATTGCCCGAATTGTTCCCAGTTTTATTATGTTTTATTTTTATTATTTTATTACTTCCCTTCTACGTGACTTTACCGAAAGAAACAAGAAGAAGGATGCGAGTTGTTAATTGGTGCTTTGTGCACCACTTCCAGTGCAGCAACAGCAAGCAGCAAGCGTCACCAAATAGTTAGTTTCTTCTAGATTTGAAGCTTTCGTGACTGCAAGGATTCATATTCTTAGGTTTTTTTGGTAAAGTCACGTAGGTAAAAAATTAAAATTAATAAAAGTAAAATAAAATAAAATTAAAATCATGACGTTTTGGAGGCAAGCTTGTGTTGCCTCCGAAACTTCGTGATTTTTATTTTATTTTTATTTTACTTTTATTAATTTTAAGTTAGTTTTTTCTCAGAGAGTGCATGGGAAAGTTTTGCCCAATCTGCTGTGTGAAGGATAATAAGGTGGGAGGGGGGGGCCCTCTGAAAAAATCTCTCCCGTAGCCGTCGTCTGAAGCGCGTGGAGCACCGTTGTGCGACATCTCTGAATGGGGATTGTTGTCGTACGAATACATTGGGGTGGGGGGCCAAAAATGTATTGAGGATGCTTGTTCTTAAACGCCGTGCAACGGTTAATGTAATCACGCCCTACTTTGTCTATTTGATTTGGTGTCGTTTGCGATGAGATTTCTTTTTATAGAAGCCAATCGCGCGGGCAAACTCGACTTGGCCAGCGCATTCATTTTTATTAAAAAATATTTTGCATTGCAGGAGTTTGATGTTGTTGTCCTGAGCATCTTTGTTTTTCGCTGCTTAGGATGGATATACGGCACTGCCAACGGTGCTTTAAGTAGAATGTTTAATTACTTGTGAAGGCTAACATTTCAATGTTTACCCAATGTATTAACTTTAATTAGAATATAAACGTACACTCCTACTAATTGCGCCGTTTTAGTTGGCTTTCCAGTTTTGTTTCAGATTAATTTACCGTCACGGTGTAGTGCTCCGAATGTTATCTTGCGATCGTCGTTTTTTGTCGTTCGCGTAACTCGTCCCCCGCAACGAAATTTCCCACGAGCCTCTCACCCTGCAAAAGAGATCCGTCTCGGCGTGAGCCGTCGACTGCTTCCACGTAAGCGGTACGCGCACGTCATCGGCGCAGTCTTTTGTGGTTCTATCCACTGCTGGATGAAGGCCTTCCACGCACCGTCGCCAATACCAATAATGGCCCCGCGATACTTTGGCGTACATCAGCTGGTCACACACCAATTGCATCTCCGTGGCGGTTGTTCCCGTAAGATTGCAGCCCTCATTGGGTGTAATTCTCTGACCGACCAAAATACCCCTTTGCTAATGGTGCTGACGATAACCCGCTATTTCAAAGTGTCCGAAATGCGCATTCCAAATCCAAAAACGGATCGTTAAAATCCACCGATCCAAAAAAAAAACATTGAATCACCTGTGACCTGCACTCATCGCTGTTCTGCCATGTCCTGGCCGATTCACAGCCTCATGCCTACGGTGCACGGGATGCCCTGGTGGGCACCCACCAAATTGTCTCGAGGCAATTTTTTCCCAGGATGGTTCTGCCAAGCACTAAGGAGCAGCCCTGCTTGGCTTTCCAAGATCCGATGAAGTTCGGCACGTTGGTGGCTTTTGTGCCTGTACACGTGCCTCTACCGTTTTGCAGTATCCGTGGCTTGCAATTATTCATGCTTCTTTCTTTGTCTGCCCAATATGCGGCCAATCTTTGAGCAACAGGTGAAGTGTAATTATAGAGGCTTCTATATTGGGCCCTCAGTCACAAGGCCTGACAACTTAATATTCCCTTACCTCTCTCTCTGCTCTAAAAATTAATGAGCGTGGGGGCGCAGGGACCTGCGATGATGTTGGTGGCAATTACGCTTGTAACCATTATGATGACGATGGAGGCGATCGTGATCAAAATGTTCCGGTAATGATTTCTGCCGCCGAGAAGATGATGCCGACAACAATGATGATGACCGAAATTTTAGTTGTGATTTTCATCTTCGATGGTTCTGGGAGTGTCAAAGATTATTCATGAAAAAAAAATGTGGAGATATTCACATTATCATTTTAATTGCCGTCCCTTTAAGTATCCAGGATGGTGCCCTGGTGTGACGGCTCGCACGCTGGACTCTCAATGCTGAGGACGTCGCTTTGACTCGATCACCCAGCGCATGGCAGTATGAAACGATGGGGCGCGTGGTGGTGGTGGGGTAATGTGTGTCAATGGACACAAGGTGGGATGTTCGAGCCCACTGCGTGGCTCACGCCGTATTGGACCAGCCCTGGGCCATTCCCTGACCCCTGACCTTGCTTGCCAGTGGTCGAAGAAACTTAGCACGAGAGTCATAAGGAACCTAATTTCTGCGCTGCTTAAATGCTAATGCACGTCAGATCAAGAAGGTCAGAGTCAGGGCTTGGGGACTGGGAATGGTTTGGCCAGGCCAGGCTACCGTGGTAGGAATGTAGTCTCTTTGGTGACCGTACCAAGCCAGCACTGTGAAAGACCCAACGCCGAAGATCCCTGGTGGCTTATCTTCCACGAAGCTCATGGTCCAACCTAAATCGCATCCACTGCACAAACCCATGGCAGGTGCGGACATCTGATGCACAAACGGAAAATTAAAAACTCTCCAGTGTGCGACTGTGGTCATCCAGAACAGACCGTACAACGTGATGCCTGATCCACAAATACGAAGGAGACATCACAGCGATACACTCGGCTACTCCTGACGCGGTTATCTGGCATGACCCACGTGAATGTGAAATTGTAGTTGTTGCTCTGCATTAACATCAGCGGTACGATAATAAGACTGGGCTCGCACACTTTCTACTGGCAGTGGAGAAAGGGCAGCGATCGGAAAATCACGTTCAGTGCCGTCAACCCAGTCTACAAACGAGATGGTAAAGGTGATAAAGGTGCAGCCCTGCAATTACCTCTTCACGCCACCGCTGACGGAAGGAATGCTGCCGTGGTGTGATGGTTAGCACACACAGGTCGCCAGTTATACAAATAAGACTTATCGTAATTTCTAGCAGGATCAGCTTCGGTCGTTCAGTGCAGTCATTTTAAACTCCGGGTCACATTTTGTTTGCATGCTTGAATTTAACCGTGTTAGGCACAGACACGGCCATTAAAACCGGATTACAGGCGCGTGCCAAATGGAATGAAGCCGTGTGAATTCCTTCTCGCCGTTTGTATTGCAGAATCTCAAGGGTCGGACGGTGACTCCCCGCCACTCGACCTGGAGCAGAACGACGCAGCAGGAGGAGGAGGAGGAGCAGCAGGAGGGGGACACGCCACTGAGTCCGCGGACGAGGGCCGAGCGAAGGCCGGCGATGCGATCTCGTCAGCCGGGGGGCCCGAGGACGACGGGAGGCCGGACGGCCAGCTCGGAGGGGACTCGAGCCGCGAGCGCAGGGGGGCTTGCGAGGGTCTGCAGGACGCGCTGCAGGTGGTGCTAGTGCGGTGGATCGCGGGGCCTGCTACCCGCGCCCCCTGGGTCGTGCTTGGTGAGTGTGGCTCTCACCCCCGTGGACCTAAGTGGGGGCGCCGCGGGACACATTCTGCCTGGTATGCGGGAGGTCGTGGGTTCAATCCCAACCCTGACGCCAGCTGCTGTATATTTGGAGTTTGCGTGTTTCTCTCTCCCCGTGGTTGCATGGATTTTTCTCCCGGTCCTCCGGTTTTCCCCCTCCACATTTAGAATCGACATTACGCGTTGAGAGTAGTTTGGCTGCTATACATTTGCACACGATGATAAGCCACTTTTCTGAGCTACCATTTGTGGCCAGGTCACTTCTGAAAAAAAAGCTATATAGCCCATTGGGATCTTACCTGGTAAAATAAAAATAATAGTAAACCCATGAAGTAGCCTTTTTTTCCACAGGCACATCCGAGCCGAGCCAGGCACGGGGGCACCTAACCCCGTGCGGTGGACTTTTGCACTGGCATTTTCCGTGCCGAGCCGGAAACCAAACCGTGATACGCTAACCCTCGCCGGACATCCGAGTCTGGCTCCGGGGGGGCGGGGGGGGGGTGAGCGGGGTCAAGAGGTGAGGCTCACGGCCGTGGGCGCTGGGTGCCTACTGCGTCACCACAGGATCTAACTGCCTTCTCAACCCGCCCGGTTGCACGAGCCGTTGGCGGTCGGTGACGGTGGTGCCGGTGGCTCGTTTCTCTACGTGGGCAGAGCGTTGACACTTCGCGTGGCCTCGCAGCGTAGCGAGCCCGACAAAGATGTCGTGGTGACTCGCGGCGCTGACATTCAGTGAGGCGCGGTGGTTGTTCTGCGTGCGTGTGTCGTGCGGCGGTTGTGGTGTGTTATAGCACCCGGCAATGAACCTGGAAACTCGAGTTCTGGCCACGGCCAACATCAGTGGCAAGTGCTCTCAGTCCTTGGATCTGTCCATCGTGTTGTATCTTGCACAACGGCCTCGTGCGTCGTTCGTGCCTCAATAGATGCTCGCAAACTGCACTTTCCCCAAAAGGGTAGTAGGCCATTTGGGGATTCATTGTCTTTTGGGGAATATTGTCGTCATTGTCATTTGTCATTGTGTGTCATTGTTTTAGTACTTTGGGGAGTCATTTTCTTTGGGGGATAATTATTAGGTCATTTGGGGAATCATTGTATTTTCGCATACGTGCTTTATATATAAATGTGCTTGTACTCGCCGCCTGTGTAGATATGTATGAGCCAAGAATTATTTTTATTGTTTATTTTAGTTTTTTTCCTCAGCACTTTGTGAAGTAGTTTGAAACGATTACACTCAGGATGGTTTTGCAACAATAGATAAGAAAAATAGCAGTAAATTAGTCTTTATTTAACGATTTAAGTATGAAGTAACCGCAAACACTACTTTTTCAGTAACCATAAGGTAACCTCTCATAACGTGTGTGTGTGTGGGGAGTGGTGGTGCAGCGGTTAGCGCACTGCTCTACGAACCCGGCGTATACGAGTTTCTTTCCCGCCAACATCAGTGACGATTATCTGAACTGGTCCTGGGCCTCCCCTAGGTCGACTCGGCCTCAAATGAGTACCTTGGTGCGGTGTGCAAATATCACCACTCGGGAGACAAAGGCGGCCGGGCGTGGTGCTGGCCACTCACTCCCTCGTGTGCCGTGCCGGTCTTCATAGGTGCTCGCCAACAGCACTTGCCCCAACAGTCTCTTCAGATTTCACGGGGTCCCTCATTTTTGCCTTTAGTGCTTCCGTGCGTGCGTTTGCAACTCCTGTGTGCAAGACTCCACCACGCTGCGTGTCCTCAAGGTTCACCGCCGCTGGTGCAACACGCGCACCGTGGTGACATCACCGCCACTTAGTAGCGAGTGGCAGCCCTTGTCATTAACGCACGCGTTTGCATAATAGCACGCGTGTGCGCGCGCGAGCGTGTGCGTGTGCGCGCGCGCGTGCGCGAATTTCTCCTCCCCATCGCCTCCCCGCCACAGCGTTTCGGAGCGAGCGTGATGGGCGACCGTAATTTTTACCCAATCTGCTCCAATTCCACTTAGAATTTATTGACCATCGCGCTCCCACAGAATTCCCCCATGGATACCGCCTCGGAGTGGGGCTTCGATGTTCGGCGCGTGGAGCGACAAGGCGATCGCTAACAAACCCACTGGGCTTGCTTTTAACGAGCACCCGTTCCAATTGCGACGTTTCCCCCCAAGTCACCTCCATGCCCCTCCTCTCATTCCCCCCCCCCCCCCAACCTTCCCGCCTTCCCACGAAACGCGGGAGCGTTTGTTGACGCTGCCCGCCCGCTTTGCACGAGGCAATGCGATTGCTCCACTTTGCACACCCATCATTCGTCGGCTGTTGGTCTGAAATTTGCGAAAGCCTTACCGCCGTGCTGTTCCCCGGGAGAGGGTGGGGCTCTGCCTTGATGCCAGTGCCCGGTTGTAATGGTGCCTCTCTGAGCAAGCCCTGGGAATATGAGAGAGAGAGGGGGGGGGGGGGGGAGAGAAACATTAAAACGGGAAAAGAAGTGGGCATGTTCTGGCTCATGAAGCCATTTCCTCCATCTGTGTCACTGTATTTAAAGTGCGCGATAATATGAAAAGGAAACTAAACCGAGATAATTAAAAATATATCTTTCACCCAAGTGACATGGTAAACATAATGAGGCCGTCCATAAATGACGTCACGCACCTGGGGGGGGGGGGGTCAGACATTTGTGATGATGTGTGACGAGGGGGGGGGGGGTTTAAGAAATGTGACGTCACATCAAAATGCGCAGCTTTAAATAAATATAGACAACACGTTCTACTTAATTAAATAGACTTTTTTTATCAATGTTTTCTCCTACAACATCAGAGTGCAGCGGCACATTAAATACGCACTACAATGACAATAGTTTAAACCGATTTGAAGCATGTTTTATTTTTTTTTGGGGGGGGGGGGCAGAGTTTTGTGACGTCATATTTGAGGGGGGGTCTGACTTTTTGTGACGAGGGAGGAGGGTGGGGGGGTCAAAAATCGTCCAAAATCGCGTTACGTCATTTATGGACGGCCCCAATACAGGAAAAGCTGCAGCCCTGAAATAACGTGCTCAAGCCACTGCTGACCAAAGGGCTTGCACTAGAGGGAGCTCTAGAGACCCCTTTTAGAGGGTATTTGGCCTAATTGTCCACGATAGCAAGACATCTTGGGATAGCTGGAAGTACCAACACTTTACCCCCCACCCATCACCAGTCCACTGTTCCACACATACGTGCACGTAACACGTGTATGTATGTCACACATTGTGTATGTAATGTTAAATGATATTACCTTTCTCGTGGAATGACGTTGCCCTTTGCTTTACTGTGCAAATGCTGCGCTGTAGCGCCGCGAGATAAAGACATGACAAGGTGGCTTTGCACTTAATTTGTCTCCGCTGCCTCTGACCCAACTGTGGACCCGTAGAATCCAAAGGGAAATTTCTAATTTCCCTAAACCCCAAATATACGTGGAATAAAGATCCAGCCCTGGAATTACTTGCCCAGGCCACTGCTTGCGTAAGGGCCTCTACTCGATAGAGGTCTTCTCGAAGGTATCTGGCCTTTTCTTCCACGATGGCGAGGCATCTTGGAAAAGGTGAGAATACCCACAGATAATTCCACCACACGCGGCCTGGTGTAGCCATTTATACTGCTGGGTGGACAGAGGTATGAGAATCATGAATATTTATGTCTACTGGAGGAATCCGATAAGCTATAAAGCTCTTTTTCACAGATGTCCCGGAGGAGCGGGTTAGAACGTTGACAATAACGAACAATGGAAAAACACGACGGGAGTGGAAAGTACAGGAAAGGAAAACAAACCACTTTAAACATACAAACAAAACTAAACTATTCCCATCCTACCAGGCAAAGCCCGGCGAGACATAAAACCACCCTTCAGAAGCGACCTGGTCACAAATGACAGCTCAACAAAGTTGCCCATCACGCGGAAATTCAAAGCAGCAAAATAATTTAAATTCAAAGCTCCACGCATGTTGATTCTAAATGTCGGGGGGGGGGGGGGGGGGAAACCGGAGGACCCGGAGGAAAAAAAATCCACGCGATCATGGGGGTGGGGGGGGGGGTGAATTTAGGAAATTTGACCATAATTTCACCCGGCATTGGCGGGAGGTCGAATTGAACCAGCGATTTATGGATTCCAAGTCCACTTTTCTAACCATTGCAACCGCAACCTGAAATATAACGCTGACAAAACTAATAATTGACGTATTTTTTCTCACCCCCGAAAAAAAAGAGAAATCGTACACGAAGCCTGCATTTGTTGGAGAGAAAATAAATAAATTCGTTTCTCCAGGGGCTCACAGTGAGTAGTCCTAGCTGCAGGCTGTTGAGCAGACACGAGAGAGAGGGTAGGCAAGGACATGGCAGGATGGGCGTAATTAAATTCCCTTTCTGTAGCCACGGAAATTGCCGGAAAAGGGTTAATTTGATGCTTCGGAGCCCGACTACAAATTGGCGCGTTAATAAAGAGGACTGGGTTTTTTTTCTTCTTATTTTTTCTCCTTTCACGCAGAACTTTCTCCCTTGAAGCAATTCAATTCTCCAGCGACAATGCATTAGCTTGGCCAACTGTCTCTCAAAGCGTCTCCGGGGTGACCGCTCCTCCTCGTCGGAAACTTCTCGAGCACTGGAGGATTATTGGCGTCGAGCGGCGGAGTCGGCGTCCCGTCGTTTCGCAGCTCCGGCACACGAAGCGAGAGCACACGGTGACGTTCCACTTGGCCGCTTAGGGGCCGTCCATAAATGACGTCACGCATCTGGAGGGGGGGGGGGAGTCAGACATTGTGACGATGTGTGACAAGGGGGGGGGGGGTTGAGAAATGTGACGTCACATCAAAATGCGCGACTTTAAATAAATATAGACAACACGTTCTACTTAATTAAATAGACTTTTTAATAAATGTTTTCTCCTACAACATCAGAGTGCAGCGCCACATTAAATACGCACGACAATGACAATAGTTTAAAGCGATTTGAAGCATGTTTTATTTTTTTTGGGGAGGGGGGG